ACAACAAATTTAGAATTTAAAAAGCAACATTTTTTTACTATAGTACTTTTATTTGGTTGATTACTAAAATCAACTTAATTAGCTTTATTATTTTGACAAAGGCTTTCTAGGTTAAACTAATAAAAACATTCAGGTTTTATATTCTAAATATTAAATATGTGGTCAAACTCTAATTGGGCCACAAGCCATTTAAATGACAGCTATCAAAAAGCCATACGATAATTCTAATTTTTTTTTATCGATTTTATAAAATTTGAAAACTTTAAATATACATTTGTATTTAGCGGTTTATAATTTAGCAACCCGATTATTAAAAACACTAACAAAATATCGTAAAACACTTTTCCGAAAATTCCTCATTAATACAGGCTAAAGATATAGGCGTGCTGTGGTCCATTATAAAGAGTATGAAAAATTAGTAAATTTGATACATATTAATCAGACAAATGAAAAGAAAATTATGAGAATATTTTAAGTGATTATATAATTTTAACTACAAAATAATACATTTGCTATTTATAAATGAATTTTCCATAAAAGTACATACCGGTTTCACGGTACCTTCTCTTTCGTATTTAGCCCATATGGCTCCATCTTGTAAAGCTGCAATTGCTGCAATCTTGCACTGTACGTGTGCGCATATGTGATCATCTATGTACGTTTGCCAGCTCATTGTTATATAAAAAAATAATTTAATAGCCTAAGAAAAGGTTTATAATATTTAAAAGATACTTTTTACGAACTAGCCTTAACAAGACTAGAAGACAGAGTGACTGAGCTAAAAGATATTCTTGCGCTATACAAGTTGGCCAACAAGGTTTAAATTTTAAGCTTAAAAATATATAATACAGTTTTAATATTTTGTAAAATACAAGTTTACTTATATTTATTCAATATTTATCAATATATTTATAATATTTTTTGGAATTATTTTTCAGGCGTAAGAATACATTAGTTTGCAACGAATATGAGTCAATATGACATCATCGACGAATTTACATTATGTTCTGTGAAGCTCAGATATTTAAAAATATTTCTCTGAAAGCTACACACACCTACCGGCTTTATTTTAAAGAGAGAATTACATTTTAGCTAATACTTTTATTTGAAATTGTACCAATTTTTTTTTTGTGTAAAAATGGTAATGTATCATATAAAATGTTGAGTTTATAGCAACGTGCTATAAAATATAATCAAATTTTTAGATTTTTTAATGCTCTCAATTTATCTCTTAAAATATTTATTTATTTTTTAGAAAGCCTTTATATACAAAATAAAAATATTGTCTATTTGAAGTTTTTAAGAGGTTGCTTTCTCTTCTTAAAAAGATCACGTCAATACTTCTTGAGGCACACTTTTATTTCTCTTAACACGAATTCTGTAGTTTATATATTTATAACCCAGTTCCTGGAGCGCAGAACGCCAACTACCCGAAAATCTGTAGTTTTAGGAAAATATTTTATAAATAATGTCCTAATATTTCTTTATTCTTTAATATATAAATATAGTGCAACTATTAATGTTTTCTTGAAAAAAAAATAGAGGAATCACAATTAACGAATATATTTTATTAATATTTTATATAGTCTCTCCATTCCAATAAAAAATATAATGTCGATATTTTAAGGTGGATATCTAAATTACTAAATTTCCACTATATTTTTATTTGTTCAAAAAAGAATATGAAACTCTTCTAAATAAATGACGATTTGATGTTTGTTTGTTTTTTTTTTGCGAAAAAAGAGCACTTTAGCCTTCCTCACTTTTATAAAAATATTTATAATCATTTAAACAAGCGATAGAAAAAATATATATATAGTATAGACCTATTAAAATTAATAATTCACGACATTATCTAGGAAAACTTTTCTCTGGATGGCTGGAAAGCTTCATAGTCTTCTTAAATTCATATTAATCACTCAAAAGTAAGTATTGATTATTAAATAAAGATTTAGCCTAGCCCACATCTGATTCTTTTACCTTTTTGATGACCTTTAGCATGCCTCGTTTTTCTCCCACTCTTCTAAAAAAAATATTCATTTCTGATATTGTAAACCCATTTTATTCTTTCCTTTCTCCTTCATATCTTCATTTAAAATTCACCTAATTCTCCCCCTCTAACTTCTATTGAATAGACCTCCAAACTATTCAACACTGCATTCTAAATCAGCCTTTATCAGCCTCCCCTTTAACTATTGTGTATCTCTCTCTCTCCCACCTACACACACACACTCTTTAGTAGATCCTTTCTTGTATAAAAAGCCTTCTTTTTTATCGAAGTTCTATACTTTATTTGTTTGCTTTTGTAATAATAATTTTT